TTTTTTTCCCCTCCTTTTCCACACACGCACAAAAAAATTTAAATAATAAAAATACACACGGAAGAAAGTAATAGACAGGAAAAGTAGTCATTTTTCTTGTACCGGTTCAAAGCTTTGAATGACCAGGGTAAGAAAAAAAATAGAGTTTCATTTGATTAAAGCAACTATATATAGATTATGAACACAGTCCGCACCCAAAACGGACTCACTGAATGGTTCGACGTGTCATCTGGAGTGAGACAAGGGTGTGTGTTATCACCGCTACTATTTATAATATGCATTGTACACGGACAAAATAACAAAAGAAGCAAACCCCAACCCGATAGACCTGAATAAATGCTGTTTGCAGACGATCAAAGCCTGGCATAATATGAGAAAGAAGAGCAACTTCAAGAGCACACAGACAAGCTGAAGACACAATGGGCAAAGCCCAATAACATGAATATAAGTAAAAGCAAAACGGAGACGATGAAAATTAGCAGAACACCTGGCAGCCTTAATATCACCATCGACGGAAATCAGCTGAAAAAGTAAGCGAGTTCAAGTATCTTCCTGGTAGCATCTTTTCTGAAGACGGACGTCTCAACAGAGAAATTGAGAATACAAAAGGTTAATAGTGTCAGCTACCAGTTTGCCCCACTCCTCAAACATCCTAACATCCCCACTGAGACCAAATCCAAGGTCATTAACTCTGTCTTCATCCCCACCTTGACTTACCAGTGCCAGATATGGACCCTGACCAAAAGTCTGGAACGTAAGATAACCATCTGCGAGATGAGATGCCCAAGGAGAGCTGTCAGCAAAACCAGACGGGACATGGTCAGAAACAACAAGATCAGAGAAGAAACAACACCTGTCCTCCACTACATTCGAAGGCAAACAATCAAGTGGTTTGGACATCTCACACGTATGGCACCTAACCAGATTGCCAGTAAAGCCTACTGCAGGAAAGTATCAGGGTACAAGGCAAAAGGAAGACCAAGAAAGACCTGGATCCAGGGTGTGAAGGATACCCTGAAAACATACAATATCCCACCCAGCCAGGCCATCAAACGCTTGCTAGAGACAGGAAGCTCTTCCTCTCCTCGACGACCTAGAGGTACAAGAGGGCGGATAAAGTAAAGTGAAGTAAAGTATATTATACATACCCACTGATTGGAACCCACATAGTATAAGATCAATGGAAAGACCACGTGGAACCCGGGGAAGAGTCACAGAAATTGATGTACAAAAAAGTGGGAAGACATGGCAGGGGAAGGTGGAAAGTGTTTGTTCGTGATCTGTATTGTGATTTAGGGTGAAAAAGGCAATGATGATGATGATGATATACCCACTACCCTGTCCCCTCTGTTGGTTCTTGGTTCTTTTCTTCATACTGATTTATTTTGTCAAGGGATCTGTGACAATCTTAAACTCCCCGTTCATTGTGAAACAATATGCTATTGCATAAGATATATTATTATAGGCCTACCCAAAGCGTGTTCAAATAAAGTAGTGTGAGTTCAACAAGAAAAAATTTATGTCCACCCCTGCTACCACAAAGCAAAGTGCACAAGTAAGTCTCAATGATAAAAGTCTCTTTTCTATAAATCAAACTAGACTCGTCCGTTTCGCAGTCCAGGATTGATTCAATATATATCTGAGTTAATCGTGACCCAACTCTGTGGACCCGTTAGTGTCGTAGGTGCTTGGTTATTTTATAACAGAAACACATAGCATGACAGCGACTTTTGAAGTTCCACACAGTACACAGGGACAACATACGACGAAGGCTGTCCCAGAAAAGATTACTATAAAACTAACAGTTTTGTCGTGATTGAGATACAACTAACGGGTCTAGAGTCCCTTTTTTCCCCCACGTAACCCAAGTGAATAGTCAAACAGAATTTTGCGTCGAACGACCGGAGCTTATATCTAACATGCCCCATAAAGTTTGTGCCAAGAAGGATTTTCTTCCTGGACAGATAATATACAGCTGCACTGGTCCAAACAGATGGAAGATCGGGACAATGATTCAAGAAACTCTCATTAAGTTCTTGGAAGTTACCAGCAGGCCCAGGTCCCGTGTTGCAATGTGAATTTTGCCTGCACCGTTTCAACACTGCACGACCTCAGAATTACAAAATTCTCTCTGCTTAGTACCAGTTTTGAGAAAATTTTACGTCAAAGATTTTGAATTTCACAACATGTGAAGCTTTTTCGAATGCAACTCTTTTAATATTTTGATAACGACTCCGAATAATCTTACGATTTAGATAGAGCAGATAGAACATTTAATTTTTTTTCTATCTCGTCATGGTCTTAGTAACTCAAAACTGCCAAAAATCTCAGTAGAACTACTAGAATTTTATAATTCTAAGGTAGCGGCTTAGCAAACACCAATGGTCTGTGTCTTGTGATCATTTAGGGTTTAGGGTGTCAACTATAATATTAAAACCCATTGAGGTCCTTTTTCTTTGTATCATAGCTCAATTAAATTAAGACAATTTTGAGATTTATTTTTTTTGGAACGATCCTAGGCATCAGCACTGTCAAGAATTATTGTGAGCCTCCCGTCATAACAAATGAGATTTTAAATAAATTCAGCTTTTTTTTCGGTGTTAACACCCGGATGATAAATCCGAATTGCTCGTTGCGTAGATTTGTAGAGGCCTATGTCCTTTTTCAAATAAATTGCACCAATGCTAGAAGACCCTTGACTTTCTTTGGTTGCATTATTTTTTTTTCCTTGTACTTG